CTCGGTAGGCCCTGTCATAACCCCTAACAGCAGTAAAAGGCTTAAATCTGCTCTCTCCTCTATCTCTCCCTGTGTTTTGATTTGTTGGTTTGTTTGTTTTTAATTTTGTTCTGTTTTGTTTGCCTAGAGACCGAACCTTTGAAAATCATCAGGGAAGGCTGAGTAATAGATTGACGACCCAAGATGCCAAAGTCTTTAGACGGTCACGCTGTCAACAATCTGAGTTAGATCCTTTCCGGTGCCCCCCCCCCCCACCAAAAATTAGAACCACCCGCCCTTTTTGGCAAACATTCCATGAATTGATAAATTATTATATTGTCTGCTCGGTGGACGGACAGATCAAATAATTGTAATATTGATTCTGCTACAGTTAATTCGAAGATATCTAAATATTTATTATGAATCATAACCAGTTATAATTCGTCATAAATATTTCCCTTTTTAGAGCTAATAATAAAAACCCTACACGTTTTTCAAATTTTATATAATATACTGTAGTTACAAAATGACACTATACAAAATGTATTTAATAACTTTGAAAAATACAGGTTTCACCTTGAACAACATGGTTAAATTGATGTTTACAATGATACATCATATAAAAACACTATTTATATGGTGATGATAACGTTAAATGGTTCATCGTAAAAGAAAAGTGTATTTTGTGTTTATATCATAATTTTACATAATAATGGCCTTTTTCTGTCACCACAATAACTTCAGTATGATAAACATCACCAAAATTACTAAGCAGACTTAAGTATTTATTTGAAGCAGGTTACATGCTGTGAAAAAAAGGTATATTCCATGATTTCCATAGTCAATAAAGGGATTAACTGCGATTAACTCAGGATGACACTGGTGATGATCATAAGGTGCACATGCGATGATTGAGTGTCCTTGATTTTCAGGAAGTTGGATCATTCCAAATGTCCAAAGTTGCAGTGGGGAGTTACTTTCCATTGCCCTTAAACTATGGTGGTTCCACTGGCTTACAAACTCATCCACAGATCTGTTTATTCTTGGAAGGTAAACATGGTGAAGAGCCCTAATGTGAAGTGGGTTGTTGCTATCTAAAATTCCAACATTTTCCATGAAAAGGAAAAGTTATTTAAAATAAGCTGACACCACCCTGTTATGTTCTGCCCACAATCTTTCGATGCGTTGATTATGAACACTACATCCAACCATAAAGCTTCCTCTGTTTGCCCCTCGATTCTCAATCATAAACCTTGCAATATCAATATTCTCACTACCAGCATCACGCCTGACATGATGTGGGAGTCCAAACAGATCCACAGCATTTTGGAAAAGTTGCAAGGCAGTTGATGCTCTGTTGTCTGTGCAACATCTCAGGTAGGTAATTGTCAGGATTCGTCCAATAAACGCAGGAAGCATGATTTGCAAAAGTTCAATTCTTTATAGGTTTCCCATTTTTTAAAAACATACACTTGGCCATACATAAAGAAAATAAAGAAAACTGCACAAATAAACGAAAGAAAAATTGGAGTTCCAGGGATCAGATGTTAACAGTTGGGATCCCACTCCAAAAAAAAAACCTCTCTTAACAAACAAAACCCAGCCCTTATATTAATGGGACTGTACCATTAAAGTCCCCCTGTAGTGAAAATCAAGTTTTTTTATGTTGTTTATTTGTCTATATGGTGTTTTTAATATGTGCCAATCTATTAATCAACACCATTGCTGAGTATTTTCTCCTTAAAGCTGTAGTTTCCCAAAGGCTGACCCAGAAACCAATAACCAATCACGTCAAGGGATTGATTCCTATCACTAGCATGCAAAATATACCAATACCAGCACAAAACCAAAAATAAATTAAAGCAAAAAACACATGAAGCTGTGGTTTAATGTGAATTTAGAACCACTAACTTGCATTATAACCCGTGGCAACAGTGTAAAAGTAGCCTGGAGTCAGACCCACCTCTCTCGCATCGGCATCTGCACTTCACACGCGTATGCAAGTTAAGAATCACAAACGGCTGTTTTTGAGTCTTCAAGGCATTTTAGGACACAACATCATCAAGTAAGTAACTTTAACAAATGTTACAGTATTCACTGTAGTTGTCCGCTAGTAAAAAGATGGTTTTATCAGTCATTATCCGTGTATGCCATTGTTTTGCGTTTACTACAGTTCAGTGGATCAGGAGGCGCTGGCTGGAGTGACTGAGTGGAGGCAGGACTAATTTGCACATTCATAGATATATATAATACAATTTCTAAGCTATTTGTTAAAATATATTCAGTTACACAATGGCTGTCATAGCATGTTTCATAACAGATTAATTTAAACATACTGTACATTAAGTAATTAAGACTAACAGGTTTAGTAAAATATAATGAGTATATGGTGTAATATTTCGCAAAATGCTCCTCTCTAGACTTCTCTAGTGAACTGAACTGTGGACACTGATGACTTGCTGAGGTAAATTAAATGCTACGTGACATTTTATTTCCAAGCTGTATTGTTGATGTCTTTCCACAGTTGAAACACTGATTGAGCAATTACATGAGGCATGAGATGTTCAGTCATGTTTATTCACGTTAAAACTAGTAGTACAGAGGAAGGAATGATGGTGTAATATTTCGCAAAATGCTCCTCTCTAGACTTCTCTAGTGAACTGAACTGTGGACACTGATGACTTGCTGAGGTAAATTAAATGCTACGTGACATTTTATTTCCAAGCTGTATTGTTGATGTCTTTCCACAGTTGAAACACTGATTGAGCAATTACATGAGGCATGAGATGTTCAGTCATGTTTATTCACGTTAAAACTAGTAGTACAGAGGAAGGAATGATCACGTTCACTCGCGCTCCGCTTTGCACAAATCTGCGGGGCGTCACGGCTCAGACACAGGAACTGGTGTTGTGCCGAATTCTACACCCCTGCCAGATTATGCACTCCCTTGTTTAAGTCTCTACCTGATTGCCTAATCCCAACCCCACCCCTAATCCTAACCCCTCCCCCACACCTACTGCTAAACCTACCAATACTAGGGGGTGCATAATCTGGCAGGGTGCAAATGTCGACACTACACCGGAGCTGATCGCGGCCGCTCTAGTCAGTGCTTGTGTTGGGATTATACAGTGGGGCAAAAAAGTATTTAGTCAGCCACCAATTGTGCAAGTTCTCCCACTTAAAAATATGAGAGAGGCCTGTAATTTTCATCATAGGTATACCTCAACTATGAGAGACAAAATGAGGGAAAAAAATCCAGAAAATCACATTGTAGGATTTTTAAATAATTAATTGGTAAATTCCTCTGTAAAATAAGTATTTGGTCACCTACAAACAAGCAAGATTTCTGGCTCTCAATTGAAGTCGCTACCTGATTTCCTAATCCCAACCCCATCCCTAATCCTAATCCCTCCCCCACACCTACTGCTAAACCTACCAATACTAGGGGGTGCATAATCTGGCTGGGTGCAAATGTCGACACTACACCGGAGCTGATCGCGGCTGCTCTAGTCAGTGCTTGTGTTGGGATTATACAGTGGGGCAAAAAAGTATTTAGTCAGCCACCAATTGTGCAAGTTCTCCCACTTAAAAATATGAGAGAGGCCTGTAATTTTCATCATAGGTATACCTCAACTATGAGAGACAAAATGAGTTGCCAACAAAGGGTATATAACAAAGTATTGAGATGAAATTTTTTATTGACCAAATACTTATTTTCCACCATAATTTGCAAATAAATTCTTTAAAAATCCTACAATGTGATTTTACAGATTTTTTTTCTCATTTTGTCTCTCATAGTTGAGGTATACCTATGATGAAAATTACAGGTCTCTCTCATCTTTTTAAGTGGGAGAACTTGCACAATTGGTGGCTGACTAAATACTTTTTTTCCCCACTGTACCAGCACGTTTCTGAACCGTCCCAGAAGCGGCTCTCCTATGGCGTTATTTTACTGACAAATGTCGAGAGCGCATTATTGTAGCGCGAAAGTACATTAATATAATGCGCGAGCGCGAATCTCTCCGCTCGCGCGCGGAATATAATGTGCCGAGCGCGAATCTCTCAGAGACACGCTGCTCTTGTATGAATTCTCACTGACCTCGCCCAGAGAATATGCCTGCACTTAAAACGTGTCCGTTGCAAACGCGAATCTCTCCTCTTCACTTAAAGTAAGCGTGTATGTGCCCAGAATGTGTCCCGTGCGTTCGCGAATGCCTAAATAGTCTTTCTCTACGATCTCTTTCTCTTTACTCTTGGAATAAACGCTGTCAAAACGGCAACAACCAATCAGAAATAGGCTTCCACGACTGACCAATGAAAACGCAGGCATCGTACATGGAATCTTATTGGTTGATATCTTATTGGTTGATATTGAACCGCACAAGGAATCATTTGACTTTGAATTGAGCCAAGACGGATCCGCCGAATCGACGATCTCAGGTAACCAGTTTTATATATTTTGATGCTAAATATGTCAAATGTGTCTTAGAAATATCTGGGAAGAGGGCAATTAGATTATTTTTCATATAAATGACATAGACTGTCTAACTGCACAATCTGTATTGTAAACATTAGTACTCCAGACTCCAAAGTTATCTGAAAGGTACAGGTCATTTCAGCGTATTTAAATCTGACGATTACAACTAGTTCTTGAATTTTGTTATTCATTTTAAGAAATACAATTTGTAGCACTGTTATATTAGATGTCTAACATCTGCTTTAGATTTTATAATGACAAGCCTACTTTTTTCCCCCTACAGATCTTGAGACGACTGGTCTTGGACAGATTACTGAATAAACTGCAGTATATTGTTAGTCATTCTGCCACAGGCCTCGACCTTGATTATCTACATTTCATTTGCACACATGAACTAATACTCATTGATGCATTAGAAGAACAAAATTTTATCCCAGAATGCATTGTAAATGCCCTTAGAGACCTCTGTATTTTGGTGAGAGAGCAGGTTGAAAATCAAACAAATTAAACAATTCAAATTGAGGTGGAGGCAGTTGCAGGAGTTATGGGACGACCTAAATTCACAATTGAAAATGAGAAGATCAAGTCCCTGCTAGACATTCAGCTGCCCGTTCCTTTCATAGCCAAACTATTAGGAGTTAGTGAAAGAACAGTTTTTCGTAGGATGAGAGAGTTTGGATTGTCTGTGTCAGACTCCTACAGTACAATGGGTGACCAAGAGCTTGATATGTTAGTGACCAACATCAAGTTTCTAATTTTTTTTTTGTACAGATGTACACGAGACTGCAATAGAAATAATTAATAAAATTTGTTTTCTTCCAACTAGATACAACATTGTCATATTTGGGGGCATTGACGGTTTTTCCAGAAAGGTAATTAGATGTGTTTGTATGTTTATAATAAAACTGTCATTACATATTTTGTTGTGATATCTACTGTCCATTCCAAGTAAACATTATGGTTTGCTCTCTTTAGATAACGTACTTGGATGCAGCTAACAATAACAAGGCATCAACTGCCTTTACCTTCTTTCTACAATCCGTTGAGAGGAATGGTGTGCCTTCAAGGTAAATGCTAGAAAAACTTTATTTTCTTTACCATGAACAAGATTTGTTTTACACATTACTTTGAAATAATATAGGGTGTCACTGATTGTCTTCTGGACAACTGTCAGATCAGCAGTCTTCCCCATGATTGTGTAGCCTAGTGAACCAAACTGAGAGACCATTTTGAAGGCTCAGGAAACCTTTGCAGGTGTTTTGAGTTGATTAGTTGATTGGCATGTCACCATATTCTAATTAGTTGAGATTGTGAATTGGTGGGTTTTTGTTAAATGCGAGCCAAAATCATCACAATTAAAAGAACCAAAGACTTAAACTACTTCAGTCTGTGTGCATTTAATTTATTTAATACACGAGTTTCATAATTTGAGTTGAATTACTGAAATAAATGAACTTTTCCACAACGTTCTAATTTATTGAGATGCACCTGTATTAAGTGGAACAACTGTTTCAGTAACTGTTTCAGTAATTCTCTCTAATTGTATCACTGAGACTATCATACTGTGAGACTAACACAATACTGAGACTAACATTTCCTTGTGTGTTATATAGAAGTCTGTCATGCAGGTTTGGAACAACATGAATTAAAAATTAACCTCTTGGCTAAACCGTTAAACCGATTGACTAATCTTTTACATTCATGCAAAGGGTTAGGGGTGATCAAGGGGTTGAGAACCTCAACATTGCACGCTTCATGTTCACTGTAAGGGGAACAGACAGAGCAAGTTTCATCTCTGGAAAAAGCATACATAACCAAAGGTAAAGTAAGAAAATGCAGGTTGTAGGAAAATATGTTTTGTTACATTTGTTAAATTTTCTGTTAGCCATGCCATACATAAATGTAGAATATACTTTTTTTTTTTTTGTTATAGTCATTAGAAATTTCAAGCTATTTTATATTTAGCTCCATTTATGTTCTTAAGTATCACACACATAGTAATCATTCTTCCTGTTACAGAATAGAATGGCTCTGGCGTGATGTGTGGACAGCGGTGACTAGCACATATTACGATACCCTCCATAGTCTTGAAGAAGATGGCTTGCTGGACATCTCAAACACACTGCATATTTTCCTTGTCCACTTTGTGTTTCTTCCCCGTCTCTGCAAAGACTTGCAGGCATTTGCTGAGGGCTGGAACCATCACCCCCTCCGCACTGAGGGAAATATGACCCCACATCTGTTGTGGGAGATGGGACTTATGCAGAATAGCATCAGTGAGCTTGAAAGTTTAGAGGTATGAATGAGTTTTATTTCTCTAATTTATAACAAAAATAATGTTTTTAAGAGGTTGCTTATTTAACTAGGAATTTTAATGATTATATTTCCCTAGGATATAGAGGACCTTGATATAGACTGGGAAAGTGCCATTTTCCATGAGGAATCATCAACAGAATTTGGAGTTGTGGTTCCAGAACTCCTCCCCCCTCTAAACGAACAAGAAATAAGAAGCCTCCAAGCTGCTGTTGACCATACAGTGACATCACACTCAAATGGTAGAGACATCTATATTCAGTGCCTTCGAATTTTTCATTGACCAATTGTGAATATGCGAAATCTATTGTCCTTTGCTTGTTCATATCTACTAGAGATGGAAACATGTATTTTCCAATGAATCTTTATTGAACACCAGAAAAAAATTTCAAATACAGTGAACAGTATAATATTCAATATCACTCTTTTAAGGTGTCACCCGAAACTAAAGCTGAGTAACACAAAGAAGCATGTGGTGCTGAACAGTGTTTGTGGAATGCTTACCATATGACAGATTAAACTCTTTATATCAACTTGAAACTGTAATGTTATACAAGCAATAAATTCCTGGCAAAAAATTGTCCATCGTTTCTAATCTTAAAGCTTGTTGAACAGTTAGACAAGCTTGTGCAGCTAAACCTTCAGAAATTCTTGGCCAAGAAAGAAACCCTCCATCAACACAGTTTTGAAGTCTTCATAGTTTGACGTGTTTAACAGGTAGCATAATTGTATTGCTGCCACAGTTGGATAACAGTCTATGCTCATTATATTCTGCATCACAGTTATGGTTAAATTGAACTCTGATTTTGAAATGTGTCTTTTCTTGAGAAAGAATAGGAATGTGTCCCTGTCCTGTCACCCACTGAAGGAAGGTCTTCGGACTCATGGGGAGAGTTCCCACACCAGAAGTACGGTCATCTGAAAAAGAAATTACAAATGGTTAATAATTAAACGATGACAGCTTTTGTTTTTAATATGTAGCCATAAACATCTATCCATCTTCCATACTGCTTACACTATAGGGTCATGGAAGTGCTGAAAACTACCACACATCCCAGTACTAAAAATGGAAACAAAAAAAACTGCTTTTCTCTATATATAATGACAGTGAAGAATGAATTATACATTCACTTTTAAGACAATGTAGCGTCTGCGTAGAATCATGCATGATCTTTGGGTGTTTATGGCTTAAGAGACCCATTTTAGCCTTTTGACATTTGCATATAAATTACAGTTCTGCTCAGAGACTTTACGTTTGTATAGGGGTTTTAAATTGCCAAATGGTTCCTCGCCGTCAAGGAGATTCTAACCAGCCCCCACTATCATCTCCCCCATCTGACTTCAAACACGGTCCCAAAGAGCTGTAAATGACCCCGATGGGCCTGGCTGGCCAAGTACACTAATACACACACACACACACACACAAAGACCGTTACTCTATTATACTCTAAATATTGAATTAATACAGAATTTATAGTTTTAGTGTTTTTACTTTGCTCCAGTTCCTGGAGAAGGTCTAGCAGTTCATCATGGCAACCTCGACCTGTTCTCTGTTTGAGCCCATTTCACTGAACTCTGCCTGGCAAATGGAAATGACAAAGTCTGCGTCCACGACCTGTTAAGTAAAATGTTGAAAAACAATGAAAACAAATGTTCAAATTAAAGCCTAGTCTTATGAGTTTAGTTACATCTGGGGTAAAAAAACTATTAGAAGCAGCATTGTGTAAATGCTGTCACTAACCCGCCACGAGTTAGATGATCAGATAAAAAATAAATAAATAAATAAAAGTTTTGAATGTATAACAGAGGCAGTTTTACAATTGCCAGCAAATTAACCCACATATGTTAATGGTTGTTTCTGCATGTCCTAATAATAATAGTAATAAATACAGCGACAAGCAGCATTGATATGCTAAAACTCCAGTGACACACTTCCTGAAGCCAGTTGGTGGCACTATGATTGTGAACTACAAAAGCCACATCTATGTAGTACTACTACGACGACTACTACTACTACTAATGTACTTACTGCAGTTTCTGTCTCAGGAACAAACAGTGGCTGACAAATTTCTGGGTGTTTTTCCATAAGACCACCAAGGCCATAAAGCTGCAAACCCTTCCTGATCTCTTGCAGCATGGGGATCAACTTAAGAGTGGCATGTAGGATAATAGCTCTGGAAGAAAAGCATTGTGAGAGACAAAGTTAATTTCTATGCATACAAGTCAATTTAATTATGCCAAACCTCACTAAAATTAATGTTCATTAACAATTCCTACATACCGGGTCATTTCATCCTTCTTCTCTATGCTGACTACACTGAGGTACCCACAGTTCAGAATGTCTTCTGCGAGCTCTGTAATTGAGGTTTCTGTGGCTGATTCAACCTGAAATAATAATGAATTGTGCATATCTCAAAGTTCTTCATCAAAAACATGTCAGTATCACGATCATCTAAATAAATATACCTGTGCTATGAGATCACGATAGTGCCCATCTCCCAGATCATTTTTTTCTAGGTGCGCAAACTCTAGAGACCCATTACTCAGGACCTTATAGCACCAATATGCAAGGAAGTTTGGGGCTGGGCCACCCTGGGCCAAGCTGACCGCCATTATTTCTCCTATAGTCCTGAATGATATACGCAAAATAATTTTTTTTTAGTATTTCCACACAGCAAACATTTGATAACAGAAAGTGAGATGTCTGAAAAAAAAAAGACTGTCCTATAGAGTATCAAAATACATACTTGAAATGACCTTTGTCCAGATCAGACAAATAATACTTTGGTGCTCCCCCCTCAAAAAAAAAAAAACGGCCTTCAATGCCTCCAATCATTTCTTAAATGAAAAAAATGGTTATAACAATTCTGCATGACTTGTAAAGGTTTATCAGCTACACCAACCATTCCTGTTTGAAACCCAGCTCTGCTTCAGATCATAGTTCTACTAATCAGCTGATGAGTAAATTCAGATGTTAAAAATAGAGAAACTTTAAAAACATGCAGTGATTGGGAAACTCCAGAAACGTTTGGAAAAACACTGATCTACACAATTGCTGAATATATTTTTAATTCATGTAATGCAATCATGCCTGTCAGAAACTCCTTGCTCAGTGCCCCTGTGTCTACTCCAGCTTCACCTATAAAGGCAACTTTCAGTTTGTTAATGGGAGATGATTTTTTTTGCCTTTGCCACTGCAGAAGACCCCTCTCCAGCATATTTTGTCTCGGTACGGTGATGTCAAATCTGTGGCCTTCTGTAATTACTGCCGCACTGATGCTTTTGAGAACATGTTCATGGCTAAGTAAGAATTAAAACAAAACACTTTACAATAAGGTTCATTAGTTAATGTATAAACTAACATGAACCATGAGCAATACATTTGTTACTCTATTTACTAATCTTCGCTAACGTTAGTTAATAACAATACAGATGTTCACTGTTAGTTCACAGTGCATTAACTAATGTTAACAAGATTTTAATAATGAATTAGTAAATGTTGAATTTAAAAAAAGATTAATAAACACTGTATAAGTGCAGTTCATTATTAGTTCATGTTAACTAATGTAGTTAACTAATGAACCTTATTGTAAAGTGTTACCAATACTATTAACTACTGTAATAAATGTAAAATTGTATGTCCAAGTTAAAAATGCAAAAAATAGTCATACCTTTCAATTTTACAGCCAAATGGTTCAAAAACATCTTCCAGATCAGAATTCTGTGCTTGGGAATTCTCCAAACTGCATCAAACACATGTACAACAGATTAAAAATACTGACTACTAAAATAAGCTAAATCTATTTTGTCAGGAAAATGTAATTGTAATTTGAGAGTTAAGTTACCTTTCACCGCATAAACTTTTAAATAATCCATTGGAAAATTTAGACACAGTGGACAGGCAGCCTAAAAACACAATGCAATCATCAGCCAATAAAACTAATTACTACTAGAAAAAAAAAAAAGACAAATATCACTTATAAAGTGCATAATGTTTTCGATGTTAAAATACTTGCATTGTCATATGTAGAGACCACTACATATATATATATATATATATAAGAAATTAATTGGCTGATTTCTTTGCTAACAGTACACATTATCTCTTTAGTGCAAATGAAATATTATTATTGCTATGTTTGTTTTAAGTGACCGGTCCATCCACACATAACGAACGAGTAAGTTTTCCTAAAAATGTCATTACCCTTCCAGAACTAGTGGTATCATCCTCAGTGGACAGTTCAATGGTACTGCATGACTTAACATGCATAGCCAAGATTTGCAGTGGCATGGACAAGCTGCAGTTTTGGCAGGTTGCTTTTGGCATTTTTTGGAATTCCAGTGCATCTGAAGGAAGAGGCATTATATCTAGTTCTTCTTGAAGAGGAACTATAAACATAGTAATCTTTCCACCTCCACTTGATGATTTTAAATACTGGGCATTATAGCCATCAGCTTCTAGTGGGACAATCATCAGTTTTCGCTGGTCCGATCCACCTTTAAAGACAACAAATTTAACTAGATTAATAAAGTTTGTGTACAAACTATGAGGTTAACTTGAGAAAGCCTAGCCTGAAAGTCTGAAGTTTGATAGACAGACAGATAGATAGATCCAAGAAGATTAAATTGCACTTCAGAAGGTTGGCGTTATCAATGTCTGATGACTGATAAGGTTATAACAAAATACTACTGAGGTTCGTATTGTCACACAATAAAAATATACTGTAAATTGTGTTCACATATGCAAGTTTAGAATACACATCTATATTTAGATATTTATTCTAATGTTAATTACCAAGAGCCTTGTACAGGAGCCACCCTCCAGTCAGTTTCACAAGTTTTGGATAGTGTTCCATCAGTTGCCTTGTTATCTGCACAAAAACTGATTTCTGGGTAACTAAAACATTCAGTAATACTCTTACATTTATTTCAAAAGCAGACATACTGAACATGAATGTTAAGAATTAATAGAATGTTAACAGTACATTACAACTTTTTAATATACTAAAATTAATCTGCATACATTAGACCCTGAGAATGTGTTATAATCTAAAATAGAATTTACAATGGAATGCAAACAATACTGTAGTAAAATAGATTTTAAAATGAAACCTTCATTTTGATCAAGCTCACTTATTATGTACTTTTCTAATTTACCTCAGAGTGGTCAGCATCTTCGGATAGTTTGTACGCCTTCCCATTCCAGCAAGAAAAAGTGTAAAATCGTCTGATGGTTTTGGTGTCTTTTCCACATTTTTATTCACAAGATAGAACTGCATGGAAAGAGTCCTGCTGCTGGTGTTGACCACTTTACAGGGAGATCGAAACCTTTTTCGTCCCTTTTGAGATCCCTTTAAAAAATACCCTGGGAATGATCTGTTAAATTCAAAACATTCTATATACAGTTTACTCATTGAATAATATCATGCAATTTTAATAGCATAACAAACGAGATTAACGAATGAGATAACACAAAAGATTAACAGATATTAATTTATACATGATAAAATGAGTGCTTAAATATCATAGTATTCATGTAAAAAATTGGAAGGATTCTTAGGCTGAT